GGAAAGAGAGCATGTCACAAAGTTCAGCTATTTTCCCTGGAAATGCAGGGGGACAAGAGAGAGAACTGTAGTTGTGGAGATAGGCAGCTGTTTGATTGGCAGCAGACTTCTGGATTTAGAAGATATTTATACGGTCTCTTGGGGCACCTGGGACTTACAGTTTGGTGCTCTTTAGTGGCTTTAAAAATTCACATGATAGGAACAATACAGCTTCTCTATGACAGTCATGCTGACAGCTATTTACAGTACTATTTATTTCATGGTAGGTTCTTTCCAAATACTTTTAGGAAGGGACAGTCCCCACACCACAGGGCTCACAAAAATGCATTCCTCTCCCATCACCCTCCAGAGTTCTTCTGTCCTAGGCAGTAATTCCTGGGCATTTGCTGCCAGAAGAATTCCTCCCCTCCCCCATTAAAGACAGACACGGAGAGATAAAGAAGTATGCCTTCTCTTTGTCATCTTTCCCTGGATTCAGCTCCTTCATCCTTTCCTTTTAGGGCTTCTTTGCTTTCCTTACTGCTGTGCAAATGGAAGGTGCAGGTGAAAGAGGAAGCCCCAGAAGCCTGGCTGACTCACTGCATGTTCTGAAACTTCCGACCACAAGCAACACAAGTGCCACTGACGGCCCGAGACGCCAATAAATTTGCAAACTGACCTTCTGCATGATGCCCTTCTCATAATAGTAGCGAAGGGACCGGCTCAGCTTATCGTAGTTCATGGCGGGACGGTTCTTTTGGATGCCCCAAAGCCTGGCTACCTGCAGCACAAAACACCAAAACGTATTAATATCTGTGAGCCCCCTGGAAAAGACCAGATGACGCATGCGTGCATGAGTGTTTGCACATGTGTGTTTAGGGGGAGATTCAAAGAGTTTCATTTTTAAGGGAAGGCTTCTGCTTAGAGTACTAATATAAATAATGAAGAGCAGTCACCAATGGAGTGAATGATAATAAGTTATCACCTTTTAAGTGGCAGTGAACAAGAAAGGAGGGCAGGGCTGAAAGACAGATGCTTCCTTTACCCCCAACACAGAATGTGAGTCTGCAGGCATCCCCAAGGCAACTGCACTGGCTGAACAGTCTTTCAATATGCAAACCCTTACACTAGCTAATCAGCTCTCTCCTGGTTTCTCCAGATGCTGACAATAAACAAGCATGTTTGAGGATTCTGGGGAATCCCAGATGCTGAGTGGCTGGCAAAAATGGCATATGATACTATATTCTTCATGAAAAAGGCTTGGCATTTTTTAACAGGTACCCATATGTTGATGGGACATTTTCACAGCTATGCCACCTATGGAAAGGGTCACTTCAAATGAAGCTCTTTTCAGCCTTTCATGAAGGCTGAGCCAATTATACAATAACAAGACAGAAAAACACTGTAAATGTATATCAGTGATTCTCAACCAGAGTCCACAGCACCCTACAGTCCTTTCACGGGTGCCACAGGGTGCGACACCATGTTAGCACCGTTAGGCCACGTCCAGACGAGCGTGGCTGTGCAGTTTGTGGGGCCACAGACCTGTCTGCAGTGCCACACACTGCACATTCAGGTGTTCTCCCCACTGCAAGGTAACAGCACAGGGCTGGGGGGGTTTGACTCTGGGAGATCCCAGTGTAAAAAAAACCTGTGTGAAAAAAAAAGTGGGGTGGTGCACGTGGGGGCAGTACATGCTGCTCAAAACTGGAGCCTGGCTGGCCGGAGCCATGCTCTGGCTGCTGGCCAGGCTCTGAGCGGCAGGAGCGCTGTGACTATGGCTCCTCACGGCCCCCAGGTAAGGCTGCTGGGGCCAGCATAAATGGGGTAACCTGCTGTGCGTCAGAGAGCATTTGGCACAGGCGTTTCCTTGGGACAAGCAGCAGCAGCACAAGGTGTACAGCTGCTTCTTGTCCCCAGGAAAACAAATGTCTATGTTCGTGTGGATGCGGCCTTAGTCTGCAAACATGATACACAAGAGAAACCCAGAAATTTTAGATAGGAATCCATAGTGTTAGACACATTCTGACCGGTTGTGATCTTTCTGAGTTTTTTGCAACAGACAAATTTCTCTATTATTTTTCTGTTGTTAAAAAGGAGTGAAAACCAAGAGCCAGCATTTACCAAGGGGTGTCTTGAGTCTAACCATTTTGAGAACTACTGATGTATGTTAACAAAGCAGTGACCCAGCAAAGCAACTCAGCCCATCTGTGTGGCATGTGCTTGTAAGAGCCTGAGGTTTAGTGAGAGCAGCATTAAACGCAGCTATAAATTGGTCCTGACATTAATGGATGTTCCAGACACATTTCCAGCTGTTATCAGAGTTTATTGCTCTGTTCTGGACAGGGCAACATTAGAAGTGACATTCCTGTTAACTGCAGTTTCTATACACCCATGCCTAGAGTAGGATATCCTTTCTTTCAGATTTCTATTAAAAACACTGGAACCAGTGAAATTAAAAAAAAATGACTGCCTCCAGTCCATTTCTCAGTGAACAGGATGCAGGTGGCATAAAACCAATGTGAGACCAGCTTGAGAGTAAAAGTCCCTTGGAAGGAAGGAGCCACATGGTCCACTCAGTAACTGCATTTTTCCTTAGTAACTCTAAAACCCAGGGAAGGAACTACTGGAGGAGGAGAGTACAAACTCCTTATACTGGACACATCATCTAGACTGCTCACCTGCTCCTGAGCCCAGGCTCTGAAAACCCCAGCCTCAGGACAATTCTTGGCTAGTTAGCACCACTGTCAGGCAGGAAGGCAGGGGGCTTTACAGACTTGGGATAAAGGCCCCTGCCCTGATGAGTCTGTGATCCCAGAAGCTCAGCCCCATGACCCCTCATTTTTCCTGGGGAGAAGCTGAATGGTTTTCACCTCTTCTGGCTCGATGAGTTTGAACTCCATCCCTCTGCCAGTCCATGCAATGAAGTGGGAGTTGGTGGGATCATCCAGTAAAGCCACCAGGAACTGCCAAAGCTGGAGAGAACCCCGCCGCTGGTATGGGGGTCCTTCCCGGTACCCGCCGACTTCCTGCTTGATGTCTCCTGCTGAGCAGAACAAACAAAGAGGGCTTCTCTACCTATAACGCTTCCCTCCCCTACTGTCATCCGCCAACACTTTTGTGGGTGAGGGCTCCTCACCTCACAAAGAAGAGGTGAAAAAAGCTTCTCAGTGAAATACCACAGAAGTCAAGGCAAGCCGCAGGCAGCCCATACTGCAAATTTCCTCCTCCTACTGTTTATGCAAGGCAAGAGAGTGGCTGCACAAACAGGCCTCAGAGTACAGTGAAAATTGGACTACAAAAGATCTGTGAATCACCCTGCAGTGTAAATGCAACAAGGCACCCATGGGTGCAGCCCCCCCCGAACTGGGGGCTAGAGACTGCTGCCACCTAATTTCTAAGAGTATTCTGCAGAAAGAACTTCACACTAGATGTGCTTTCCTTCTAGCTTCACTGACTGCGATAGACTCATCTCACCATTTCTGCTATTTCATATCCCAGGAATGGGGTATCACTACCGGCTGTCCCTTCAAGCCCAGGCACAGGTCTGTCATCAAGCTGGATGCAGGACAGCTGGCTACCACCCAGCATCAAAGTGTGTTATGTAATCTCCCCTTTTTTGTTCACAAAGACAGGGCCAGCCCCTGGAGTCCTCAGTGGGGCATGCATATACTAAATGGGATGAGTATTTGTAATTGTTTCTGAGAAATGCAGGTGCCAGCATTCTGGGTAGATGTTAGGCCTGAGTTCTGGCAGAAAGCATTTACATGTTCAGGCTTGACTCCCTGAAGCAGCAAAACACGGCTACAGTCTGCATCCCTTCCTGTGGCAATCCTACAGCACCCTCTGTGCTGTGGTTGACAGGCTGTAGCCAGGATCTGACTAACCAAAACCTGTTTGCAGCTTGAACAGTAGTCACATTACAGTGAGTGATGTTAACTCCAGCGAGCTGCTTTTTGAAGCAGTTCTGGGCCAAACCAATCACCATGCTCAAAAGTCTGTTTCCTAATATGAGAAGCCCAGGAAACATGTTCCTGAGAAGCAGGATATCAGGTATGGTTCACGCATAGGGGAGGAGCTCTATCTTATGCTACCTTGTGACCTGGCTACAGAGGGCATTGGATAAATTTGCCCCAGACCAGAATTTGGAAACCACACCATTTTCTTTCAGACCTTCAAATTTTTCTGGAACGACACAGACATCTTCAGAGAATGTCCTCATCTGCTTGTCATAGCCATATCCTAGAAAGAGACATGAGCAGCAGCAGTCAGAGAACACAAAGAAAAAGCAGCACTGGAATGGAGGTCGTTATAGCAGAAGTAGAGGATCAGGAGATAGTGTCATATGCAACTCTTACCTAACAGCCCTTCAGCATGTGAATGGCTTCGGTAGCCCTCAGTGTTCATGTACATGGAAGGACAGCCAGCATCTACAGAACAATCAGAAACACACATCACTTCAACCAACCTGAGCCCTTCTAAGGAAAACAGAGAGACCAGGGTAGCCTTAAATCGTCTACTCATTCTCATTCTAGGTTTGCCCTCTCAGCAGGTATCCAACAACCATGGATTATAGGAAGGTATAATTGTGATATTGCCCAAAGCACTGGCTTTGTCCATGATGCCAAGTAGAAGAAGAGAAAATAATCTGTCCACACTGCGCACTGTCCTGGTAATGCAGAATCCGAGAAGGACAGGGGTGGGGGTATATATATTTATTTGCTATTTCTTTTCCATTTAGATCTGGGTTAAGATGACATTAGACTGGGTGGTGACTGTTCCAGGTAAGGGAGCTAGTATATTTCTATAGGGACATTACTATGGTTCAGCTGTGTACTGTAGAGATATTGATGCATACAGTATAAAAAGTCTGTCTCAGCCATATAGTTGCAGGTATTTTGCGTTTAAAATTTAACAAAGTGTTGTTCTAATCATTAAAGAAAGCATGAGGTTAAAAAGGTGGGAAGAGAGCTAGTTTAAAGGCTCTGTCCAGTAGGTAATACACAACTAGTGCAGTTTATACTGTATTTTATGTTTTCTCAGATCAAACCTGTTTTGTAGCTCCAGATGGACTGGGGCTGAGCATTTTGGGATATTATCTCATATCTATATCTATATTATATTTTGGGATAAACATTATCTCATATTTTTAGGGTTTATCTCATCTCTCGTGCAATGCAGCTGCCCTCAGCAGAAAATTTCCTGATGCTACAGTCAATGGATGCACTCAACAGACTCCACTGTACATTCATCCCTAATATAAACTAGGTTGATGAAAGCTGTTTCTCTGCAGGCAGCACATCTTCCACCCCATTTTGGACACAGGGACTTGGAGAAGGGGTAATAGCAATGTAGCCACAGAAATGCATTTTGGACCTTATTGGGAACTTAGACTGAATTTATTTTTGCTAAGGGACACCGGTCTGTTAAAATAACCATAATGCAGTCACTGAAAGGTGCCTAGCCCCTGGGCAAATTTGTTACAAAACAGGCTTTTAACGTAGCAAATATTTTCCCTCCCTGAATTGTCAGATTCCCAGGCAGTCCCCTTTGGAGTAATACACAATTTCATAACGTTGTGATCAGCTCTAAAATCCTCTGTGACATCGGAGCTTTGATCCAAGCTACCCCACCATGTGTGGAGTGGGGCTTGACAGATTTGAGGGGTTCAAACTGAGTGCAGCAGGCTAGCAAACTCTGCCTAGCCCAGCAAACAAAATTCCAGATCTGCTCTTGCCCGTGACCTTGGGGCAGCTCTTACCAGCCAGAGTGGGGTGAAGAGCAGAAATCTAAAAAAAGCAAAAGATCTGTTCATTGGAACAAGGGGGGTTTATCTTATGATTTAACCTCCAAGCCAGGGAGTCATTCCTCATTGTCCCTGAATTGCTCCTGGCAGCAGTCAGACAGTTCCACTCCTGGCTCATGTTACCAGCCACGGGCTGATGTCAGCTGCCTATAAGAAGAGAGCGTGTGGTGAAAACTGACACCGCCGCCAACCCACCAGGGAGTTCAGCTCCTTCCCCAGTCCTCCATTTTGTGAATGAAATTCCTCCAACTCCATTCAGACAGAGAGGAGCTCTTTCTGCCAAGCTGCAGGGAGGGGCTGCAGTTCAAGGTTATGTAATGCAATCCCTGGCACTGGGGAGAAACACTCCAGCTCCACTAGCAGTTGAAGGTCACCCATTGAGCACGTCTTTTGCTGCAGAGACCTGAGGCACGTTCCCTGTGCATTTGACTCCAAGACATCTGACTCCCTTCTTTCTGCTTTTTTCCACAAGGGGATTTCAGTGCAGCTTCTGCAAGGCTGATGCTTGTATAGCTCAGCAAAACATGCAGAGAGTGAAATGGAGACACAGAGGAGCTCACAGCAGAGCCCAAGACTGGATGAGAACTACTTCTCAGCTTGTTCTTTCTGCAGATCCCGCTCACTGTTCCTCAGTCCGTTCCCTCTGGCTAGCTTTATGTCCCAGCTGACCAGAGCCAAACCCATGGGCTAGAACCACCTTTCCTCCCATGAAGGTTGTCCCAGGTGGAGAAATGTCACCTGAGTATAAGCATCCCATCCCCAGCTCTCGCCAACGCTCGCTATCCACCTATCCATATAATTTAGGGATGTAATATTGCCACAGTATCTGGGTACCTTCCATGGAAAATCAGTGCTCTTCTCTAACAAATCCCCAGCCTCTGAGCTTGTGACTCAAGAGTAGGGGACCCACAAAGATGGCATATTTAAAAATGAGAAAAAGTTTGGGTTTTTTTAGCACAATGTATATTATCCTGTTTGAACTCACCAGTACAGGATGCTATTTAAGGCCAGCAGCTTTGACATTTATAAGAATAATGGGCATGAATAATGAGAATATCCAGAATTACCCTTAATGAGTTGCAAACACATTAGGGAGATAAACCCTCCTGCTTCACAACGTAAGCCTGTCTCCAAATGCTTGGGATTAAGAACCAATTTGAAAAATATTTCCATTACAGGGTGTCTTACACAACTCTCCAGCCCTCTGGTGCTGGGCACTGTTGGGGACAGGAGATTGGGCAACATGGACTCCAGTCTGATGCATGGTTCCTGGGCTGTGATGTGAGGATATTCATTACTGTTCACCTCTGTAGGAAACAGAACTGTTCCCTAAATCACTCACGTGTGGTTTTGGATTAGTGACTTTGCGTTGCTGGAGGGAAGTCAGGGGATCACAGGATGTTCTCAGCACAAAGAACGAAGCAGAGAAGAAGACATGCCCCATGCTTTCCTCTCACTGATGGCAAGTGCATTCAACTGATCTGGAGGAGCAGGCTCCTTCTTTTAAGGACTTGCCCTTGGAATCCAATGAGAACATTACTAAAAATACATCCAGAAAGAAAGAGTCTGCTCCCAAATCCATCAAGATGAAGTCACTGCAGCCTGGACATGTGCCAAAGTGTTTCTGCAGGTTTCAAGGGTCAGAGTTCCAATTAAGAAACATTCTCTGGTACCATTGTTAAAGGAAACATTATTCTTATGGTCCAGGCTGATGGGGGACATGGCCATATGACTGAATATATGACTTTCTATGTTCTTCCTGGTCTTTGCCACCATACTCAGAGTACAAGACTCCTGTATGACATCTTACATATTTGATTCTATATGAACCCACTTCTGCATCACTGATAGTGCTTTACTCCTGATTTCAATGATGCAGAGCCCATCACTCTATGTATCCAAACTGGCAGGGAACTGGGAGCAAAAAACCCCTGGAGACTAGGCCACTGAGCAGGTAGAATGGGAGGCTCCCAGGACAACAGCTCCTATTCTAAGCAGTTATAGGATCACCAGTATTTCAACACCAGCTGTTTTCTAAAGATTTTCTGCTTTGTCATGTAGCAAGGAGAGAAGGCCAGCATACTGTCCCCTGGCTGACCTAGGTTGACTGACCAGGCCCATGCAGAAAAAATTGGGATATTGGGTCCTCCCTTCTGCCCAATCCTCATTTAAAATGATCAATAACTGGCTATTAGAAAATATGCATTGCTGTGCATTAGCCTGCATTACCCCTAGCTCAAAAGTGCACTAGTAGAGGAGGGCCCAGGAAGCCTCTGACAGCAGAGTGCCTGCAGTTTCAAGTTCAGGCACAGGGCTAAGGGACTCCATACCCCTACAGAGAGATGTAAACCCAAATGTATGGAAAAGACTTGAGGAGCAATCTGGTGACCAGCAGTACCCTTCATCAACTGGCTAGGATGCTTTTCGGGGCAGAACTCTATCTTTTTGTTTTTGTACAATGCATAGCTCCGATCCTTGTTCAGAGCCCCTAAGCTCTAGTGCAGTAGAATTAATATAATAGATTATGCTAGCGTAGGAATAATGTTGTAGCTGTGATGGTCCAAAAATTATGCGGGTCAAGGATTTCTTAGGGTGATATCTTTTACTGGACCAAAAATGTAGTTGGGATAGAGGTTAGATAAGCTTTTGAATGCAAGACATTTGAGAGACCTAAACAAGAATGTCTTGCATTCAAAAGCTTGTCTAACTCTATCCGAACTACATTGTTGGTCCAGTAAAAGATATCACTCTAAGACATCCTTAACTCTCACAAGATAATAAATTACTGTATGTACTCAAATCTAAGATGACCTTGACTTTAAGACGACCTCTCAATAATTAGACTCTATACATGAAAAATTAATAAAATTGTTATAATTTTCCATACATAGACTCAAATTATTGCAAGGTCATCTTTAATTCATCCCCACCCCCACCACTGCAGTGGGGCAGACAGTGTGGGGCAGGTGGTGTGGAGAGGTCAAGTATCTTACCCTGCTTATGTCCCCAGGTCACCTCTGTCCCCTTCCTGCCTTCCCCTCTGCATCCTTGGGTCCCTTTTCCTCCTTCCCCACAGCCTCTGCTCCCTCTTTCCTGCAGGCTCAGGAAGTTCCTGTCCTGCCTAGGGAAGTGTTGAAGTGGTGACTGCATTGGGGTTCTTGGGTCTGGGGCCTTTCTTTCTGCTCCCTCCCAACTTGACCTTGGTTTGTACCAGCAGTCACCATCCCCATGCTAGCCAGGGGCAGTGAGAACGGCCCCAGCCCAAACCCTGTAGCAGCCATGCAGGTTGTGCTGCTGCTGCTGCTACAGAGCTAGGCTGGGGTGGTGCTTAGTGCTCCAGGCTGCAGCATGGATGGATCCTGCCAGCAGGGAGAAAGGACCGTGCGGGAGGGAGAGGGGCAGGTGAGGAAGCAGAGCCTGTGTGTGGTGGGGAGATAAGGGGAAGAGGCTGCAGGGTGGACATGAAGAGGTGCAGGGGTGGCAGGGGGAGGGTAGGCAGCTGCTGCAGCTATGGCCCTGTTCCTGGGTAGGGGCTGGAGCCCCAGCCACAGCAGCTCCTTGCTCCCACTGATACTTGATTCTAAGATGAGGGGCTCCCCCCATGTTAAATGAGGGGGAAAACCTTATCTTAGAATCGAGTAAATATGGTAATGAGACAGACTGCTATTGGGTAACAACACCTGAGGGATCCTTAGCTGGCAGCCTGGGAAGTCTGATTCGTAGAATGCAAGCCAGTGTGGATTGTTCTCATCATCTAGTCCAAGGGTCGGCAATCCCTGGCATGTATGTCAGAGCATGGCAGGTGAAGCCCACACTGCTCACACCAGGCAGCCCTGGCCCCTTCCCTGCTGTGCTCCCTGAGGCACATGTGCAGCCACTGTCTGCAATGAGCTGGACTGGGGCTCTGGACCCGGGTGCTGCCACTTGCAGGTTTGTGGCTGGGGGGGGGGGGGTTTGGTGGCTCCCTGCTGCAAGCAACCTAGACTCTGGTAGGCCCCTGCCACCCACCACAGAGCCTGGGCTGCTCGCAGCAGGTGGTGAGCAGCAGATACAGCAGGCAGTGGTTGCACGCACACCTCAGGGAGCATGGTGGGGAAGGAGTTGGGGATGCACTGTCACAACAAGGATCAGGACCCTCATGGCTCCCCTGCCAACTGCCATTGATATGCCAACATCTTCCAAAGCGAGGATGCAGGGTTTTTTGGCACTCAGCCCAAAAACATTGCTGACTCCAATCTAGTCTGACATCCTAATTATCAGAGACCAGGGAACCTCACCCAGGGATAAATTCTACATGAGCTCCATCACTTCTGGTTGCACTAGGGATATCTGGTATTGATCTGAAGACTTCAGGAGATGGAGGCTCCACTTTGTTCTCAGGCACTCATAGGGTGGGATCAAGTCACTGCTTACCCTCCTCCTGGATAAACTGCATTGACTGAGCTGCCTGAGCCTTTGACTTCCTAGAGCTTTAATCTTTATGATAGTGCTTTCCTGGATGCTCCCAGAGGTCTGCCTTAGGCTCAAAAGATATGGTACTGGAGGGGGAGATATCGCTAGGGAGAGGGAGCCAAAGTAGCCAACTCTTTTGCAACATGGGATGGTAACAAGAGGCCATGGTAATGCTTCAGGAGTGAGAAGACACCTCAGGAAGTCATCTTACCCAGGGACAGCAATCTGGCCCACACGATTAGGAGGATTTTCCTGCCCTACCTGAGTCATATGCATAGTCGGTCTGCTCTTGCTTGATCACCAAGCCTGCTGGGTACTGGCGGGTGCCGCTGCCCCCCATCTGGTTTGCTTGCTCATACGTTGGGTCGTGGTACTCCTGTTTAAAGCCCTGCTGAGGGTACTGCAGGCAGGGCTCAGACATCTGGCGCTGGTAGGCAACTGGGGCTTCTCGGCCCGTGCTCTGGGAGGAGGGGAAAGAATGGCACATCTCCACAGGTGGCTGGTAGATGGAGCTAGAACAGGGGGAAATTGTCAATGTGGAGGCAGTGCCCCTTAAATCCATACATTTTGGACCCCTGTGCCAGGACAGGGAGAATTGGGACTTACTGAGGCTGTAGAGGGGGTTGTATAATACTTGAGAAAGCTGCATGTGCAGCTCCAGCCATGCAAAGACACCACATGCAGGGTGTCCCAAAGCCCGCTGTGATCAGTAACAATACAGCTGGATGGGCTTCAGCTGACAGGTGCCCCCACACTGGGCAATAACTTTGAGCCAGGCTGGGCACAAGAGGGAAGTTTTGTTATTGCTGGAGCAGACTGCTTTGTTTTGGATGTGGCGCCCATCCCCAAGCACTACACAACTTCAGAGCACCCGGGAGGAGTCCCCCCAGTCACTAGAGACCTGTGGTCACTCACCTGTGTTCCATGAGGTAGCCACAGCTGGAAGTGGGTCGGGATGGACCCTGCAGGCTCAGGAAGCTCCTGTCCTGCCTAGGGAAGTGTTGAAGTGGTGACTGTATCGGGGTTCCTGGGTCTGGGGACTTGATTCCAGCTTGTCTGGTTTGATCATAGGCACTGAGACAGTCAAGCAGATATTGAAACATTATAATCCCCTGAGAGCAACTCATTCTATTTGCTGGGGACAACATGCCACAAGCAGACATATGGAGTGAGCTTCTCTCCAGTTGTTGATTCTTCTCATTGATAAAGCTAAAGGTACTTTACAGAGCAAACACGAAGAGAAGACTTCTGGGCTGAAGAGCTTACACTGAAACTCATGCAAATACCCAGGAGTGGTTCAGAGACAGATATGCAAAGTATCTGGGGAGGGACATGTGGGAAGGTGGGGTCACATGGGAGACATGAGGAGAGAGTATGGTTTAGGTAGTGGGACCAGCCACAGAGACTCAATAAGGAGATGCAGGAAGTCTTTGGGGATGTATTAGGATGCTGTTATCTGTGGAATGATTTATTTTAACACATAAAATGCTTTTACTTGCTTGGGTGCAAGGGCCAAAACAGGCAAAAGGCATTAACAGGTTTCTACTGGGGCAGGAACTGACCCAATCACTGGTTTGCCTCGCTGACCCAGCAGTCAGACAAGACATGCTTCAGTAATACTCATTCATCCTTCCCTTTGTCATGTAAGCAGCATTACCTGGCATAAAGGCACTGCTCGCCATTGCGGTACCGAAATGGCTGCTTATGGCTGCAGGACAGTGCGGGGTCCGAAGAGGGACTCTGTGGCTCCTTCTTAACTTTAGCAGGAGGACTGTGAAAAGCTACTGAGGGAGAGAAAAAAAAAGTCAAGTCAATATCCCCACTGGATCCAGGGGGGCTAAGACACCCACACAGGCACAACCCAACCCAGTTCAACTGACTTCAAGTGAAACAAAATGCCAGTGGACACAGCTACTCTCTGGAGCTCTCAGGGGTCCATCCAGAATACTTCTCTGCTCTCCCCAGTGTTGCAACAGCCGCTACTCAAGGGTCACATACTGGCATATCCTTTAAGAAGCAACTCTAATGAAGAGGCAACATGCCCTATAACTTTCCAGGGCGATCTGGAAGGGTTTAAAAAGGGTATTTGCTGAGTAGTCCAGAGCTTGAGGAAAGATGCAGCACAATGTCACAGGAGAGTGTATGCACATATGAATGCATAACCGTTCTGTTATAACATAAAGGGTGACACATTCATGTATCATTTTTTTAACACCCAAAAGCCAAATGCTGGCTTTGCATCATGTGAAATACTTTCTCAGATCTGCATACTTGTTAACAATGCGCCACGATGCTATACTCTAATATAAGAGTTGGTTCTGTAGGGCAAGGGTGTCAAACTAATTTGGTCACATGGGCTGGATGAGGGTGACTGGGCTGGTCTGCAGACTGGACTGGAACTTCCCCCTGGGTAGGGCCCACAGTGCCAAGTCTAGCCCATGCACCATACGCAACACACAGGCCCTAGGGCTCAATGTGCACATGGCACATGGGGCTGGCATGGGGCATGTGCTACTCATGGCACATGGGCTGGACCCAGCACCAAGGGTGTTGCCCAGAGGGTCAGTCTGCACCACATACAGACTGCACCCCAGACTCCCTGTGCCACACACAGCACCCAGGTTCAGGTCACAGGCTGTGGGCAGCGTATGCCCTGTGCTGGCCCCAGTGGCCAATTAATATTTATTGGGGCCGTGGGCAAACAGAAAATTGGAGGCACTCCACACACCATTATAAACATGAATGTATCAAAAAGCATTAACAAATAGACCAGTTAAATGTTTACAGGGTGCATTAAGAAATTAAGCACAACACACGATATCAAAATAAACTACTCAATTTTGCTACACACACAACTGAATAAAACAACTGCCTTAGGAAAATGACTCAGATGTATGGGATCACCATAAATGTACAATAACTACATGAAAGGAAAGATGGTCTAGTGGTCATGTAGACTCTTGTTTGAATACTTTTTTTCAATACACATTTTACATTGTACCTACATTATGGCAAATTACTACAAGAAAAATACAGAACACACTGATAGCCTCAAGCATGAGTCGAAGAATACTGTTCATGATTCTTGCAATTAAAATAAAGCAGTAGGCCTACAAAATACATCTCAATGTATTTTTTTATCTTTTCTGAAACATTAAACATATGCTAAACTTCATATACTTTAAAGCTCTCTCTTTTATACACCCATTACACCTGTTTTAATGCTACCATCACATAATTATGTAACCAAAATGTGTAGTTATATTGATATATATATACATATACACACACACATAATGCCCCCCCAACTATATTTCTCTGCATATAAATATCTATATAGATGTACACACACACACACACACAGTTTCTCTCGCTTTATGTGGGTTCTGTATGTATGAATTTGCCCTTATGCGATGACCCTTTTTGTACCTAAAATTCATTATATGCAAGGTAAATTCAGTCTTATGCAATCGGTGTAGTGGAAGCCCGCAGTCAGCTGCTTTGTGTGGTACATTGTGGGAATGACGCACACCAAAATATAGTCTCCTGTGTTGATCTGTGCTCCTCGCTTGTTGTCTGTAGCTGCCGTCCCCATTATGATAGTGTATGATAGCTTGTTTGTACTGTCTGCTGCTGGTGAGTATCAAAATTGTCTTGTAAAAGTGGTAGACATGGGTCTGGGGGTCAGTACAGTCAAGGTCTTGGAACGTATCCCTATTTATTACATTGTAAAGTGGGTTCCCTTTATGCGAATTCGAGTGATGTGCCATTTTCCAGGAACACATGTACAGCATAAAGCAAGGGAAACCTGTATAATGTATTTGTCTAGCCACACAGATAGACAGACAGACAGATCTATATCTAATTACCCCCTCGAAGAGCTTACATTTCCCCACACGAGCTGCCATTACTTGGGAGAGATGCAGACCCCTCTCTATTGCTAGCCTTATCTGGGACTGAGAAATGCAGGAAGGGGAAGAGGTATTCCCCTTCTCTGCGTCCCAAAGCAGCTCTTGGCAGCAGGACCAAAGCACAGTGCACTGCCCCGCAGGGGTATCTGGCATGGTTTGGGGTCATACCCACCAGAGCTGCCCGCAGGAGAGCTCCACACGATACTGCTGAGCAGATGGATTTGGCTCCAGCATTGCTAGGGGGGTTCCATGTGTGCTGGCAGTCTGTCCTAAGCTGCCTGCCTGCCCTGCAACCTGAGCCTTGGGAAGGAGGGAGGGACTGCGGACAGGATCGGGCCCCTTTCAGGCACAGGGACGGTAGAGATAGACCAGCTGGGCAGTGAGTGACAGGGGCAGCAGGGATCCTTGCCTCACCCTGGTCATTCCCATGAAACTGTCAAACAAGTTCCCAGCCGCTGCCTCCCACTGGCCCTCATGTGTTTAACATGAGATAAAGCTTCAGTGCTTTGCAGGACTTTCCCCTGCAGGCTGGGGAGCACAGTGGGCTCCTGCCCCAGCTCTGGCCCCAGCCCCCAGGAGCCCCTGATTGGCAAGGCCCCTGGGCCCAGGACCCATGGGCCTGTGCGTTAATCTGCCCCTGGCTGGCCCTGCATGCCACATGCACAGCAAATCCTGAGGCCTGTGCATACTGCATGCAGTGCATGCAGCTGGCCACATGCTCTACACACTGCACAGACAGCCAGCACACTATGGGTGCTGCATGAGGTGCTCTGATGGACCAGTCCTTCATGTTGGCCCTGGCATGGCATAATCAGACTGGCCCTGAAGTCAGCATGCAAGGCTGGTCTGGCAGGTGCCACAGGCAGCACATGCCCCAGACCAACCCTCTGCTGTGTGCAGGCCATGTGGTACTGGGTTCAGCCTGCACGCTGCACACTGTGTTGGGGCCAGCATGTGAGGCTGGTCTAGCGCCCCGTGAGCTGGATCCGATGGCTCTATGGGCCAGATTTGGCCCGTGGGTTGTATGTTTGACACCCCTGCTGTTAGCCAATTAGTTTAAGGTGGCTATCTTAGAAATGACTTTGTGGGAAGCTGAAGATTGCCTGTGGCAAAATAGTAGGATATTTACTAAAGTTGCATTCGTGTTTAGTGCTGCATAAAAGCATTATGAAACAACATGTTCAGAAACACCTGAATGACTTAGGAGGCTAAATCCCATTTTCAGAAATGACCTTGATATTTACCAGTCCAAATACCACTCATTTTGAATGAGACCTGAGCTTCAAAGTCATCCAGGCAGCCCTGGCAACTTTACCCACTGTCTGTGCCCAAAGTTCAATACAAACAATGTAATGCCAGATCATGGGACATGCAGGTCCGAGGTCAAAGCTCCAACTGCTACAGAAATATGTTTTATGTGCAAGATTAAAATCCTTCTTAACCAGCAGTAGCAGAAAGGTCTTAGTTCACAAAGTAAGCAATTTCAGATCATCTCCTGGCCATCAGACAAAGGCAACCCATCTTTGGTTAGCACCCAATGCATTGTTACACAGTAGGCTGCATAATACATGGCATTCATCAGCAGGGGTTCAGATGACATACAAGGGTCAGAGAGGTTTCCTAATCCTCTCATTCCAAGACTGTTCCTGGAGCTGTGGGGAGAAATCTATTGTGAAGAAGGCATAAACACTGCAGCCCAACATCCTTTTTTATTTTAATTGTCTAGTTAGAAGAAAGTTTGGCACAAGGCAGACAGGTTTCTGGCTTGTTTATGTTTGGACAACAGCCATATATATTCAGGGAGATGTTTACTCAAGGAGTGACAGCTCAGCAAAGAACTGTGAACTTCTGTGTCTCAGAATAAGTCCCTGGCTGTGTTTCTGATCCTTAGGAATCCATAGACAGAAGCTGCTAAAGCCCCAAATGAACAAAGAGCATCTCAGTGGGCACGTCCACATGAGATGCTGCTACTTCATCGTGTCTCCAATCCAACCTTTCTATACAGCCTGTTCCCAATATTCTGCACAGGCCACTGCTTCTGGTGTTGGTTTTGCCAGATCTTGTGGGGTGCATTGTGGTGCTAAAGGCCACCTCAGGAATTGACCCATGGTTTGCTTCTCCTAACAAACACATTGGTTGGTTGCAGAGAGACCCCATGATTTCATGAGAAAGTTGCATCTTCCAAGATCCAGTCTCAATCTGTCCAGGCTCTGCCATGTATGCCAGATGCTAACTCCTTACTGGGGGTAATTCCTTGCTGGCTCCATTCAACAGCTTTGTCACCTAGTTACTCCCATTCTTTTTGCCAGGAGACAATGAGATGCTAGTGTGCAGTGGTTACTGTGCATTTATTTAGTTCTGGTATAATCAAGCACTAAATAAATGCCCATAACTGGAGTTACTGTGTGCACTGTGCTGGTGAATGCCTTTTTAGTGATGCTACGGTGCAGTAGCCTAATAATACTGCACAGTAGCATATTAATACTGTTTGTGTTGTGACACACTACTGCACAGAATTATTCGGCTACTGCACAGTTAGCATCTCGTGTAGACATGTCCAGTGAAAGTAACAGTATGGAAAAGGATCAGACTGTGCCAATGGGAAGCCACAACCTGCTCATGTAAGTGTGGAAAGTGTATATGCAGAATGAGATGTAGTGGGTTGTAGGGCTTGCATAAGTGGGGAGTTACAGATGTGTGGGGGTTAGTGATGGGGAGGCCCTGTAGGCTGCAGTCTGGCCCCAAGGTCTGTTGCTCCCACTGTGCCAAAGGCTTCTGTTCTGTCCATTCTAATCTGCAATGTATCACCATCTCTCTGACACCTGAATCACAAAGTTATGAAGCTCCCAGCTGCAGCATGAACAAGAGCCTTC